AATTTGAAACATTTTGACGAATGTATGGCATTATCGATTTCACGTGTATAATTTTCGCTCACAATGAAAAAATCTAACTCACGTTTTATTATATATATTATATAACTCTCTGGCGTAATCTTAGTCCATGTGAATTAGGAACAATGCGTGATCTCGTTAAAATGCACGTTATCTTGACACTCTATAAAATCAAACAATACCATTGCACTGAATTTTTTTTTCGAAGAATGTGGATAACCAGACTTAAAATAGAGATAAAGAGCGAGACTTACTGAAACACAGGTGCTCTTTTTAATATCTGCATATCATAAAAAAAAACTTTTCTGCTAGTTTTTGAGATAATTGATTCCAAGTCAATTTCCCTTTGGTAAAATGATGTTCAATCAATTAATAATGCCATGAAAATCCCCAACAAAAAACCCTAGAACCCTAGCATTTGTATTTACTTTTACCTATTGAAAATTCTAAGTTAAACCCAAAAAAATTATTAGGAGGTAAAGGTAATTTTTCCCTCACCTTTATAGCTCACATTAGCCGAAGGCTCAAATGAGCTTTTCTTATCACATTTTGTGCGGCATCCGTATGTCCGTCTGTTAACTTTTCAAATTTTTGACTTCTCTAGAACCACTGGGCCAGAAAATATGAAACTTATGTGGAAACATCCTTAGTTAATGTAGATTTTTTGTTATAATTATGACCCCCGGGTAGGGTGGGGCCACCATCATTTTTTTTTTTTTACATAGCAATATAAAGGGGAAAAAAACTTTTAAAATATTCTTCTGATGAATCACTTGACCAGAAGAGTTAAAACTTATAAGAAAGCTTAACTGCATAGTGTAGATTAAGTTTATTCAAATCATGACCCTTGGGGTTAAGAAGGGGAAACAATGGTTGATCCATTAATTTTCACAAAGGAATATATCGGAAAATTCTTTAAAAATCTTAACAACTTCATCGACATGATGAGTCATATACAGGTACATGTATATGAAAGCACCCTTAAGTAGCGTAGATGCAAGATTTTTCGAATTTATGACTCCCCGGGGTAGATTGGGGCCACAATAGGTGTTCAAAATTTTACTTAGGAATATATAGGAATTAGGGAGAAACATTTTCACCAGAGATTTCAAGATAGTAAATTTTTTGACATTATTTCAAAGAGGGTGATGGTTTAAAAGAAAAGCTTCAATGACGTTTTTAACTCTTAAAAGATCTAAAATGATGCTAACATGTCAATTTTAACAAATACGCATTAATTTGTGTTTAATTCTCATGTTCTTTGGAGTTTCTAGTATAAATGTTCTGTAGTTTTAAGGAACATTTTACGTCATGCAAACAATGAGTAATAAGTCATTCATCATTGCACTATTTCCTTACTGGTCGTACCATGCTGGATCCCCTATCTATAACACTGTTTCTTGATTTGTCCATAATACTGGCGACCATTTTAATTTATCTCCGACATTGTGAGATTGAAAAATAAAAATGGCAAATGCAATAGATTAGAATTTTTTATTAATTGACAAAAAATACAAATCTTGTTACCATCACTGCAGACTAAATACAAATTGAAATAAAAGCAAACAAAATAAAGAAAAACTTACTTGGAATTCAATATACATGTAAATGTTACCATTACATTTATCTGTTTATGATAGGTCTAACAGTTATAAGGGGTCGCCCGCGTGGCACAATGGCTAGAGCGTTTGCTCTAGAGTGGCGAAATAAGGAGTTGATCCTTACGTCGCGGGTTCGAATCCCACCGTAGGACGTGGAGACCGGTTCTTCAGATGGGACCGTATAAACCTATATGTAGGTACTGTGTCGTACATGTAGTAGGTGCTGGCAAGAAAAAGATCCTTCATTGCTCAAAGGCCGTAAGTGCCGAGTATACACGTCTAAATTTGCAGCCCTCCACCGGCAAGTGGTGGCGTCTCAATAAGAGTGAAAAATTCTCTAAGAGACGTTAAACGAACCAACAAACAAACAGTCATTAGGGTGAACACGTTTGAGAGCGAACTGACTGTTTGCGAATGGACTCGGCGAACAGGTAGATGGACGAAAGAACCCGATACCTTAGACTGAGTCGTATTGTAAGACACCAATGGTGAATTCTGGCTCATTTCAAAACATTCGTTTTAAATAATTTTTTCTGGATAAATTGCAGATAACTGTGTAATAAATGCATCTTTTAATCACATGATACATGTTAGGGCTCAATTCTGATAATATTCGGTTGATAACGACATCGCTAGCACTTGTTAAAGTACAGGGGTGTCAGATGCATGGTGAACTCACCCTAATACCTTTCAAGAAGGTGTCATAAGACGAACAACCGTAATAATACATGCAACCGTTATAATGCATTTCAAAAGGATTATTAGTATGACACGGCAAATAAACATGTACTGTAGATCACAAAATTTTCGCGACATCTTATTTTCGCGAGTGATTTATTTGGTATTTATAAGCGAGACATAATTTTCACGAATGCTTGTTTTTTGCTTTATAGTTTCTATGCTAATAAAAATGTACATAAGAATAAAATTTTCGCGAACAGACCGTCTCGCGTAATTACGCGAAATAAAGTTATCGTGAATAAAACGTGATTTCAAAAATTAGAACCTGTCTTGAATGATTGGTACCTATCTTCAAATAATTGAACCTATCTTAAATTAATTGAAGATAGGTACATGTACAACTGAAATAAAGATGGGTCTAAACGAATTAAAGATATAGGTGTAAATAATAAATCTATCTTTAAATAATTGAACCTAGATTTAAATGAATTAAACCCATCTTTAATTCCATAACAGATAAGTTCAATTCAATTATAGACAGGTTCAATAGAACTATATCTACTTCTTGATCATTTGAAGATAGGTACAATTAAAACATCTCCATAAATGATTTGAATTTAAGATAGGTACAGATCAATTATACCAAGGTTCAATTCAATTGCACCTATCTTCAAATCAACTATACGTATCTTTCATTCTCAGTATTTGTACCTATCTTCAATTCTGTTATATCTATCTTCAAATCTATCGTCTTCAAATCTTCATATACCGGTAATTGAACCTATCTCCAAATAAATTGTAGATAGGTATAATTGAAATAAAGATAGGTACAATTGAATTATAGATATATGTAAATAATTAAGCTTATCTTTAAATAATTGAACCTAGGTTCAAATTAATTACACCAATCCTTAATTCCATTAAAGATAGGTTCAATTCAATTACAGATAGGTTTCAGGTACAATGTACCTATCTTTAAATCATTCAAAGGTACAATGCATCCTATCGTTTAATCAATTATACCAATCTTTAATTCTTATTATTTGTAATTATCTTTGATTTAATTATGCCTAATCTTCAAAACAATTGTACCTAACTCCAAATGAATGAAAGACATGTATAATTGAATTAAACCTATCTTCAATTCGTTTGGAGAAAGGTCAAATTGATTTGAAGATAGGTAGAAATATTTTAAGATAGGTAAAAATAGCGCTTTGTCACTACATTATAACAATTTTTCTCTTTGCGTTATATAACGCCTTTCAAAATCTTTACCCATAGGTTGACCTTGAAAGGCTTTCGTACCTAGTAACTTCCACTTCACAGATACTGTAAAGCTTTGAAATATCGCTTCCATTTCTATTTTCATCTTAGAAAGAATCCACTTTAGAAGTTACCTCTCAATGACCTAAAGAATAAAAAATAACTTTTGTCACCAATTAATTTACCTTTAAATTGTTTGTTTTAAGTTATACGATCTATATTAATCATAGATTTACAATGTATCTAGTGATCATTTGTTTACAAATATTTATTTTCCCACGGGAAGAAACAAAGACAGTTGTCATTTAATGCAAGACTTGATTCCAAAGACGACAGATAGGTACGCTCTGGACGTTTAATTGTACGCTTTAATTGTTTATTGCTATAATGCCGCAATATTAATTATGGGTTGGAAGTTTTTGTCCACTAGCACTGCACTTTTTTATGAATCATGAATATGTCATAAACTGACCATCAGTCGTGGGTGGAGACCATAAGGGGTGATAATACATGAAAGAGGTGATTTAAGTTCAGAAATTATGTAGACAACGAAAATTGTATATTAAGTTCAGTAGCTAACTAAATTTAATGAAAAATAATAAATTAAATCAAAAGGTAAAATTACAATGTTTTACTCTATTTTGGATTACGTTTTTAGCTTTAGAATTAGATTTTGTTTACAATTGATACTTAGACATTTCTGAAGTCGTGATTTAACATTTCCTCCAAAAACATATTTCAAATGCCCTTAGTATGTTTGAATATGAAATGATCATGTTCGGTGTCATAAAAATTACAAGACACCTATATATATATATTATCCCAGAAACTGGGTTAATTGAAAATAAAATACAGCTAATTATTGAGAATCGGGAAAGTCGCTAATTAAGATAACTCTGGGACGCATTTATTAATGAATTTGACTAATTTTACCTTAGTATGAAAATAATTTATTGACATGCCTATCTGGTCATTTGAATGTTTGACTGAATTACAATTCCATAATATGAAATACATTCTTAATTTAAAGAAAGGTTTTTTTTTTATTTTTTAGAATATTTTGGTAACAAAAGCTATGTGGGATTGCTGTCGTTTTCTGCGAAATCCTGATATTCCTGATGCTACAGAATTTCTCTTATCTTGCTCCAGATATCCAAGATGAGAGAAGTTGCAGAATCTCCCCCTGCTGATACCTAAATAAAAGTGTATCTTCCAAAACACTTCAGTTATATAGTTATCCTAGAATATTGTTTGTTTTATTCACTAAACATTAAGCTTGAGAAGTTCACCGAGCTTTGCTTAGTATAATATCACTCATCAAACGTTATGCAGACACAGAGTCTAATTTGTGTTGTTTTGAATGAAAATGTTTGTATCTTAATTTAGAGAACATAATTGATTTCACAAGGAAACTGAAAACCACACGTCTGTCAATCACCCACAAATTTCTATTGACATTGTCTGATTTATGCTTATGATGGTCATCATTTGATCATATACTGGGTCCTTATTGCACTGACTCGTTTTTACTATGATTGAAACGCAACCATCTTGTCTAGTAAAACCGCTTGATCGATTAATGTCGCGTGCTGTTAGTGTCACTTTTGACCAATCAGAACAGCGTATTCTGCTTAAATTTTCTGGCCTTTCACACGACCTGTCGTAAGATAAACTTGTGAATATATAAATGAAAGTAGTTAGAAATTGACACTCCAGATGGTATAGCTTCATATGCATTTATGATAATGAAATATCAACAGAGAAAAGTCTTTTGACTGGATTCTCTTTCAATTATTCAAATGACATTGTCAAAATGTGCGAATCCAAAAATGCAATGATGCATCAATATAGTGCTGAAAATTATTATTCCTTTGCGACAGAGAACAGTCATTTTGGACCAGAGCGCGGATATCGCAAAATTCGTCCCATCATTGCTGGAAATGCAGCTCGTGAAAGGTCCCGGGTGAAGACTCTGCGCAGCGCATTTCTGGAGCTACAGAGAACACTTCCAGCAGTTCCACCCGATACTAAGCTCTCCAAGTTAGACGTTTTGGTGTTAGCAACCACATACATAGCCCATTTGATGCGGACTCTGAATGAAGGGCTCGATGACAATCAGTTGTTTGCCGCCAATGGTATCATGCATCCCGTAAAGGTTTGAGGATTTTATATTTGTTATTTTCTTTTCATTGTCAGTGTAAAATTAGAAAGAAATTCAGTGAAGTAGAGTTTAAGAAAACGAAAAACAAAAAGTTCATCAGCTCTGACATCAATTAACTATTTTTGTTGTTGTTGTTGATGTTTCTGTAGATATGAAAATTGCAAATGGTATTTACATAAAACTACTTACTCTAAAACGACCTTAAATTTCTGTAATAGTTATTTTGTCTGTTCAACTCTTCATTAATATCAAAAACTGAAAATATCTAGATAGCCATCGCATATATATATTTACTACTTTCTTTTTAAGAAAATGAATAACTATTGACTAATAATTAATTGAATTACAAGCATTAAAAAAAATCAAGAAAATCTTAGTTTTCATTAATTTATTATTGTTATGACAGCGGCATCATTTTATGCTTTTTGTTAATGTTATTACTTATACATTTTTTTAAAAATCTTTATACCTGCAAGAAAAAAAAAATATTGTTATAATACAGTAATTGCTTCAATAAAAAGGGGCATTTTTTATTATAGAAAAATATACCAATATATTTGCCTTAAAATTCATATTAAATATTTGTCTTAGATATATTTTTGTATTTCAAACAATTAATCATACATGTACGAGTAAATACATTTCTTTATTTTATAATAAGAGGAAAAAAATGCTGGCATCGGAAAGATATTGACTGCAGCCAGAACGGTTTTGTTTTTAAGTCAAATTCTTTTAAATTCATGATTCAAATTCTGCTTTTTCACGGAAGTCTTGATAGAAACATTAAGGTGGTTTTTTCTGTTTATTCATTTAGATATTTATTTATTTTCATAAGAAATTTTACAGCTTTTAAAAGAAAAAAAAACGAAGCAAATGCATGTGAGAATGTCACTCAAATTAACGACCTTGGAATAAGAAAAAAATTGAGCGAAAAGATGCAAATCACACAAAGTGGTTTTAACATATTCTCAAGAGGATTTTACCTTGCTGAAGTTAGTGGCATCTCTTTTAAAATCAGGAAATGAATAAAGTACTGATTGAAGTACTTAATATTATATTCTTTTAATTACAGATATGTCCAGATTTGAAGTTAAGTAATGACTTTTTGCTCTCTTTCAGAAATGGCCAATGCGGTCTCGTCTTTATGCCGGAATTCTGACAAGTGCCTTTCCTGTTCTACCTGCTCCCACTTCACAAAAAGTCCCCTCCCAGTCCCACCCTTCAAACCCCGTCGGACTGCAGACATCTACCCCTCCCTGGGAATCGCCCCAAGGATCGAAATCGCCTTATTCTGTTTATCAGTCCTCCGTGTGATTTTGTCATTTTTTACACCGTATATAGCTGTTTATTAATTTAACTTGAATTTAGTTCTGTGTTTTTACATTCAATTTTCATGACTTTTATTATTCCAATTATATTTTAATCAATTTCATGTAAATATTAAGTAGAATGCGTTGAGTAAACTTTGAACTCATTGAATAAAAATGTTTTAATTGATACAATTCTACTTAGTGGTCGCATAGATCATATCTGTTATCATCCTGGCGACCTTTGACAAGACAAAACATGTCCGTATGTCAATGATCTGTATTTTGTATATACGCAATGAATGACATTACCACGTTCATAATTAATTACCACACCATTAACGTGTAGCTTGTCTTTTCTGCATTGATAGGTGCATGATATAACTGATTTACAAGACAATGCACAAGGAGGCATGTTTTCACGACTTCATTAAATTTTTATAAAATGGAAATTAAACACAACCCACCAAATATGAAGATCGTGTATTTTAATTACCATTTATTCTTATTAATTAAAATACTTAATACAGGGCATGTTGTTAAATCGGGAAATGAAAATGTGTATATCACGCAATTTCATTATGCATCATAAACCCAAACAATTAGGTAATAATAAGTAAGTAGAGTAAGTAAATTATTTATTATCTTGACATGTGTATTGATACAATGTATTTTACAACAATAAGCTTCGTTTCTTACACCCGGCATAAAGGACCAATATGTCACTGTTAATGTTTTGACAATATATATAGGCACAATAATGAAGATAGAATGATATAAGACTGTTCTTTTAGTGAAGTTCTGACGGGTTTTAAAAGCAGCAAAATATAAATTAGCAGATTGTCTAGGAAACTTACATAAAATATGTTAAATAATAATTAATATAATAAAGCAATAATATCCATTTACAATTGGTTGACAGAACAAAAAGTTGTATAATTAAAATTTACTTCTTAGCTCCTTTTTTTTAATGAAAAGGAGTAAAATACGACTTTTTCATTTTAAAAATACGGATCATTTTGTTTTAAACATATTTTACATTGAAAACATAAAAGGAGTATCGAATATATTTTTGCATAATGTAAAAAAAAAAAAATGTTATCCACACTATTATTTATAGATTCCTTTCCCAATAAAACAAACCATGCAATACAATAGAGTCAGTGATACGTGTGGTCTGCTGCTTAAATTAAACAATATTTTCCTTGAATTTTTATGATAAGATTTATGTTCGGTTCAACCAAGAAAGCATTTTTGAGGAGCTATTATATTCCTTCGGTATAGTTCGTAACGAGGTATACACAACTGTGACGTCATTCTTGTTTTGCACTCATTTTTGAATTTGATTTTCTCTTTTTGAAATTTTGCAAAAAAAAAAAAAAAAAAAAAAAAAAAAAAAAAAAAAGATGCGAAAAAGGAATTTTCATGGGATAGGTACGTGTACTTCCTGAATTGATTCAATGCCAGTTTTTCACCCCATGTTGATTAGCAGTAGAAAAATACAGACTAGATGATTTAATATATTTCATATTTCATAGTATACTACTGTTTAACCTGCAAAATATTCAGTGCTCTAATTATCCAATGCAGAGTTTGCGTGTGGATTGTTTTTGCTATAGTTTGTGGGCAAGATTGAAAAAGAACCCTAGTGCCAATGATTATCCAATTTTGGATAGTCCATGATAGCTACACTCACACTTTCACTAATTAGCCGCTATATTTCAGTAAATGATCTTACTGAATGCAAAGAAATATTTTCTGTCTTTGTTGATATTTGATTTCCGTAACAATCGAAAGAGCCCCAATACAGTTATATTTATTAATCGTTTATGTCTGAATTTAAATCATCTAAGCAAATCTTCCTCAAATCGTCTTCTTGTTGTATATAACCAAATTGGAGTACTACTCTAAATTTCAAAGCTCTATAGATTGACGTACTAGGCAGTTTGATTTTAAAAAATATGCTAACACAGATTTTTGGGAATGTTTCGACTTACGTCGTTTTGTCGAACTTTTCAAGGTCTCATTTTTTTAATACAAATATCAAAAACAAGCACATGACTTTTGCTATCCAATGAAAGGTGAGTTTTTTTTTGTCCAAGGCACAAAAAAGATAGAAATTTGATGGATAAAAGAGGATGTTGCATTATAGTAATTAAGAAACAAATTCTAAAAGTTAACTCCTTTAAATCTTTTATGATTACCACAAGTTTCAAACAAAGCCAATAAAAACCATACAATTATAAATCGGCACAGATTAAATGTAAAAATATTGACTTGATTATTTGACTACAGTTGACAATATACAGATACATGTACATACCGGGTTCTAGTAAATGTTCTACTAAGTCTCTTTCTTTACTAGTACTTCTCACGAAAATATGAACAGCAGTGAAGGAGAAACTTGAGCAGTCCTTGACAACAACATATTCGAGAAATAGTGTTCATCAAATATGAATGCTTAAAATCTCCAAGAAGTACTCCGAGGTTGATATTAAAAAGATGCTTGAGTTTTCCATTGACAATACCTAGCATGTGGTTTTCGGAGACCAGGTCCTCCAATAATCTGTTGGAATTCCCATGGGAACTTCATGTGTCCCGTTAATAGCAGACCTGTTTTTGTATTCTTATGAAGTAAAATTGATAAAAAAAACTTCTACATGAAAAAAAAAGAAAACTCTTGCTGTCTCTAGCCTTTAATTCGGCATTCAGATATGTCGAAGACGTTTTTTCAAGAAACAATATACATTGTATTCAGTTCATTTTATGTTGGATTCGATATATCCTATTAAACTCGAAATAAAAAATATCACAGAGCCTGACATTTCTGTTCTAGATTTGCTAATAAACTAAACTTAATGATAAACCGTGATGACAACTTTTCTATCGTCAACTTCCCTTATTTATGTAGCAATATACCATAATTAATCACTTGCATATGTATATGGAGTTTATGCCTCCCAGTTGATTCAATACGCAAGAGCATGTTCATCGTACGACGTACGATTTTTACGCAAGGCAAGTAAATGACAGATAAGTTTTTGATACAAGGATATCAACAATCTCCTTTAAAGTTAACATTTTTCAAATTTTATAAAGATGTCCCAGTCTTTCGCCTACTACCAGGTCTAAATGGAAAGTACCGAAATAGATTCACTTGGCGCATTGGGAACTGCTTCTATGTACTACATGTATATCATTTAAAAGATTTCCTCGTAAATCCATGCCCTGTTTCGGGCTATAAATTCATAAGAAACAATTTTATAGTATGTACGAAATATTTCTCTTAATTTTATTACTTCACAACCAGCCTCTCTGCAATTATGCATATATCAGTTTAAGCAAATCAAGTATTTTTCATAATTTTTAAAAAATATTTTATTAGTTTGACATTTTGCATAATTATGTATCAAGATTTTTTCTTGACTTTTTTCAAGATGTTTGTTTTCATGAAAGGTTTAGATCACTATTCGTTTCGGGAAATGCTACTGAATCTTAAGTATGTCGTCAACGTTTCCACTTTTTCCCTTTTATATGTCTCTCTTCTTTCCAAAATAGTCGAAAATCTCATGTTAAGTCAAGTCCAGGTAACATTAAATTCAAATGTATATGGTAAGCAGACAGGTTTTAGGATTTTTCTACAAGGGAGGAATTTACAGTTGTTGTTTTTTTTAATTTTATACACAACATGACAAAAAGGAAAGTTTTACATTTATTCAGATGAACAAAGGCATATGTAATCAACACTATATACAAAGCAAATTTACAGTACAAATTAAAAAACAAATACTGTTATAAAAAACAAAAGTAATACAAAAAACTTTGGCATCTTGGGGGCTGCTCTCTTTAATTCAAAATCCATTGAAAAACCCGGGGTGAGCCCAGCAGGTTATCACGTGTCTTAAAACCTGGGGGGAGCCCAGCAGGTTATCATTTGGTATCCCAGAACCTGGGGGGAGCCCAGCAGGTCCGTAGTCTAATTACCTGGGGGGAGCCCGGCAGGAAATTATTGATACCAATCAAAGCAAAAATTTTGGGTGTACTCTATCAACCTGGGGGGAGCCCAGCAGGTTGATGATAATTTAAGTACCTGGGGGGAGCCCGGCAGGTTACTAAATGTGAAATTAAGCCTGGTAAGAATACAGCAGGCATTATGTGTGTTGAGTACACAATTTGTAATTTTTAATAATAAAGCTTTAATAAGCCTTTGCTTTATTTGAATTTGGGGGTTTGAAAAATTCCAAATACATGGGAATTTTAATGTCCAAAATGAACGAGTTTAACCTCGTGTAAATGAGTGAGAGCCCCCAAATTTTAATATTATTATTTTTTGTTTGTCTATACAAAGGTAAATAAATTTTGTTGCCAGTTTGTTGAGGCTGGTGTTTTTATTACAATTGACATGAGGTGTTGAAATAAGGTACAAATAAGCTCGGAAATAAGACCAAGCAGAATCTCAAATCAAAAAAAGAACCTGGGAAAACATAAAAATATAGGAGAGTGTTCAAAAATATTCTAGAACCACTAATGAAAATGGTGTTCTAAGGTTTACTCCTATTACACATTGAAGTTAATATGAACGAAAACAGAATTTATATCAGGCGCGGATCCAGGGGGTCCACTCCAGCAGTCAAAAAAAAAATCCCACCAAATAATTTCTTGACAAGCAAGAAAAATAAAAATTGGATGTGTCGATATCGACACAAATGCCCCAGCAAGCAGCCAAAATTTCAATTGCAATATTTAGTTGTAAATTTGTATTCAAACTTGAACCGTATTTTCTGGTAAAATACCTGCATATACAATTTCAACCTTATATATAATTATACATCCCTACAAAAGTTAGAAAGCGGAAACTGAAAATTTCTTCTTCTTTTTTTTTTCTAAGTTCAAGAGGGATAACTCTTTTAAAAATCATTGGACCATGATCAAATTCAAATTAGACCTTTATTTTCTGGTAAAATACCTGCATATGCAATTTCAACCTTAGACATACATTCCTACAAAGGTTAGAGAGTGGAAACTGACAAT